TCCCATTTGAATATGAAAGAGAAACTATTTTATTGATGAGCTGTTTTCCGTTACTAAATTTCTATTTCCATCTTGACTATCAACAATGTTTATATGGCCGATTTAAGCCGTGAGAAATTAAAATTCGACCGTTAAACTTTCTCTTATGTTCAAGAGAATTTTAAAATCGACATAAAAAATAATTGGACTACTTTCGATAGTTAGGTTTGAATTTAAATTTAAATTTTGTCTTGAAATATTAATTAACACTGGTGCTACAAATTTCCAAATTAGCTCACTAGCATGAAACTCATGGCAAGCTTGTTCATGGTCAAGGTTGGGGTGACAGCTCAACTCTCAAGATGACAAAACTTAAAAATAGATAAAAAAGAAAACTGCAGGAGTCAAAAAAGTTACAGGAATTATTAATACGATTCATTATACAAGACAAATGCTAAAGAAAGCGGCTGTATTTACGCGTCGAGATGTCTTTCAAACACATAATGATTCATCCTGCAAACAAGGACTGTATGAGCTCTAATATGGTCATGGTAACAAAACAACAATTAAGCGGAATCAGTGAACTCATAAAAACCTTTACTGGCTGTCACAAATTCTGTTACGGTCAAAGGCAACTCTCTTTTTGAAATTTTATCTCTGTAAATAGTACATATTCATCAGGGATCATTAATGACGCAAAAAATACCTGGAAAACCGCAACAGAAAGAATTCTGTAAAATAATCGATCATATAGCAGGGTAACCTTGCCGATGAATTTCACTGCCCATTAAAAAATTAATGACTGAATGGAGAAAGCAAAGTCTCTACCACTCCTTCACACCACCTATGCTTTCAGAAACTCATGTTCAGATATTCTGCCAAATTGTGCCAATCATATTGAATCTATGTGATGATATTTTACAAAGTATTTAACAAGCCTTCTATAAAAATCAAAGAAAGAGGTTGCTTTCCACTTAAAATTCTCCACATGTTATGTTGCTCGAGATAACTTATGTTGAAAGTTTGGTCTTTTATTGTCTTTGTGAAGTTGCCCTGCGTGAACCCAAAATAAATTAAATGTCATTATATTACTACAGCTTGAAGGAGATAGGAAAAATTAAATAAAAAATTAGTGGGATTTCCGATTGGGAAATAAAATAACACTAAAATAACACTACAAGTTGTTGCACTAAATTGTGCTCATTGAAATAATGAGTACTGAGTAGAAAGTCAACAAACAGAAAACTGTCAGAGAATCCTCAAAAACACTTAAAGACAGCTACAAAATATCTCAAAGCTTTCGCAACAAGCAAATAAAATTTAAGAAAAATATAAAGGCAAAATACGTGACTTCAAGGCTTTGCCTGCTTCAATGATCGTAATCTGGACGACTTCGTCGATGGAGCTTTAGCGAAGACGTGCAACAATTTACGCAGTTAACAATTTCCATGGTAGTTTTCGAGAATTCCTCCAACATCCCAAGTGTTTAGTGGAGGCTATGCAAACATGAAAAAATTCCCCTAATGTTTAAGTGATGCGCGCTGACTGGTTGTAAAAAATTTACAAGTAACGTTATGATATTCCTCGATCTTCTTAAAACTTTCAGCTTTTGTACATTTTACACGTTGCGCCAACGAAAAAATAGGAAGAGACGCCAATCTTAGAATTTTTGATGTTGTCTTACGTGTCTTGCAGAGTCGATACCTATATCAAAACTCTTCGGGAAGAGAATTCATTTCAAGTGAATGAATTTAACAAGCATGAAATCCATGTATGACATAAAGTTTTGGGATCATCCCTGTTATTTCTTTGCTCCAGTGAATTAATTCTTCGCGTGCATTGCTATTTGTGATCTTCTTTGGAGCGTACCCTCATTAACAATTTATCTCTCGGCTCAGTGAAGACTTTACCATAAACACAACTCACTCTTAATAAGTCATCGATGGCCTCAAAATTCTTAGAAAAAGAAATCTTCTTCGAAAAGATTCTTGCGTCGTAAGTCCCACTGGGATATTTTGCATTTTGCGTGTCATTGTCGCGATTCAATTCCTTCAGGACCTCCGGCGATGCAATGTCTTTTCATTGTAACTCGATAAGCATGCACTTTTATTTGAAGAATCATCATGCAGTCCCAGCAAAATAGTGCAAATTTCGGTGAGCAAATAGTTGCATTTGACGCTAAAGGCAATCTTCTTTAAGAGCAATTGACCTACTTTAAATTTCACGTTCGTTTCATGATTCTTATTGAAATCGTTATGTCCTCACAGTTGTATTAAAAGAAGTCCTGATCTAAGAGAGGGGCTTGGGTTCCAAGGAGACGTCTTTATTCGCTACCTCATTACCCAGGCGAAGATACAGAAGAGAAAAGAGAGAGGGATTTTTTAAAGTTCGGAAAGAAGACTTGAAGTGACAATCAAGAGCTTAGATAATGAAGAAGACAAAGAAACACATGTCGTCACCAGACCCCAAACGAGGCCATCATGTTATTAACAATGGTGTGAAGGACATATATCCTGATATTTTAAAAGGTTTTGTAGATATATACAGCAAAGCATTTTTCGGTAGCAATAACTATAAAAACCTTGAACACCTGGGTATCATGAACGAGCATGGTCTGCCGGTTGACTGCGTGCTTGGGATCGTACCTTTGCGTCCTGAAACACATACAGGAATACAAAACAGCACTGTGTACGCTCCAGGAAACGAGAAACACACGAATGATAGAAACGCTGTAAAATTCGGTTTGGCTAAATTAGGCCTTTTAACCAGAGTCAATTTCTTAATGTTTGATATTTGCACATCACTCAGAGAAAGAAAAGAAATGCCAAACGATCTTGATAAAAAAATGGGTGAGCTCCGTCAGTTCATTAGTGACAAATTTAACAGAGATGTGTTTGTTGATGAGCAAGCTAAAGGTTGGTGGGAGAAAGAAAAAGGTCGAGGTGGCGCCAAAAGGCTCGAAGAGTGGACACAGCAGGTGGAGACAATGTTAATGAAAATAGCAGGCGAGGACAAGATACAGCTTGTTATACATTGGGGACAATGGGCTTTTCGTGTGGCACAGGGATTCAAATGCAGTCATGTGAAATCAAAAGTAGAATACTAAATTAATAAGTCTTTGTCATTCATACTCCAAATGAAAACACTGTAGGAATCAGTTGTGAATAAGTAATTGGCTTGAGGGAGTCAATAGTACATCAGTGCTACGTTGGAAGGAATCAATTGTAAATTGATGGTTGGCTTAAGGAATCAATTATAAATTGGTGCTTTTCTTGAAGGAATGAATTGTTAAGTAACGGATCGCTTGATGGAATCAATTATAAATAAATGGTTCGCTTAAGGCGGAATCAATTTTTTAATCAATGGCTCGTTTGATAGCTGCTCGCGGCGAACCAAACCTTTAACGCCAGCCTCACCCCCACCCCTTACCCCCCTCCCTCCCCCCCAAAAGAAAAACAAAACAGAAAAACAAAAAGAAAACATTAAAAAAACAAAATTAGGACACGTTGATGGTCACAAATAAGACAATGTAACAGAGAGGCATCTTCTTGCTTAATTTTCCCACTTCTTAAAACGTTGTACAGCGGTGTGCCGATTTGTAATGCGCACAGCATAATAGCTGTCAATCGAGAATGTTACGAAAAATAATGATCAATGACAAGTAAGCCAATCACGAACTACTTTAGGTTAGTTGTTTATTAATCGAGATTAATGAATACCTTTTATCTATTGAATAACCTGGATCAGACTGTTAAAACAGGCAACGCAGATTGCTTATAGGACCGCAGCTTTCGCAATTAGTGCCGTTATGTGATATCTGTGGCCTTAAATTCGGGCAGCATAATCTCGCAAGAAATGCTATCGATCTCGCCGATACGATCGCTGGAGCCAGCATATTAGGTGTCAAATGACTGTAAGCGATGAACTCTTTCTAAAAAGATAAGAAATAACTTAAATAAACGAAAAAAGCTCCTTGCGAGTCCATCGGACACCGGGTTGTTTGATATCCTCAAAAAGGCGCCAATTATTTTTTTCCAATATTTGTGCATCTTAGTTTAATATTGATAAGCTTTTACCTTCGTCGATGAACTAACAACAAATGTACTTAGAAATGTATTTCAGTTAGGTCAGCGTTAGTTTTAAGCGTAAGAATGGCAAAGGAGAGACTATTTCCACCAATGTTCTTCGTAGTCGATGATTCTCGAAGACCCCATTCAATTTAGTGGTGGCCTCTAGCTTTGTCTCGACCGGAAATTGTAGTTCTGCTGAACAATTTCATCATACGGTTCTCTCAATCAAGTGGATCACGGATCACGCTGGTTTTCATTTTGAAAACTTCTCACTAACTGAGTTGAGGGCGTAGTATTTTTATGTCAAGTTCAGTAGCTACTATTCTTTTGACAAGCTAAAAATTATGGTGAAAAAAGTGAAATATTTTAAAAATTCTCCACGTCGGATGACGTCACGTGGCAGGTTACTTATTTAAGATAGAAACAGAAAAGAAGTATCGCAAAGTAACGAAAAGCGAGGGGGTTTCAAATAACCCCCCCTCTTCACATACAGATATGAGTTTGCATGTTCGTCAAAAATTTAATGTGAGCATCACATCAGGTCTTTTACCTCATCCGTGCGATATTTGTGACTAACGTATTGGATTAGAATTTTACCTCATCCGTGCAATATTTGTCATTAACGTATTGGATTAGAATTAACTTCAGTTGATAGCTTAATGACTCGATGTAGCGCTCTCCTTTCCGCAATAAGCCGGCTGCCTTCTCTAGTAAGCTTATCCCTAATACAGCCCTGCTCCTTTGAAACTAACTATGATTACGTGGCCGAGCACGTTCAGTCAAACTATGATACTGCGGTAAAATCATTCAAAAGGAAAGGAAAAAAAAAACAGCCAATTTCACGAGCCCTAGCCTACTGGAAAATTTCAAGAGTCTAATCTGTGGCAAATCCATCTTAAAATCCTGTTTCCTCAGGCTCAGTCCTTTCAAAGTGCTCCCCGTTTTCAACCAATGGCGTCCGAGCGGACGGACGAGCAGACGGACGAGGAAAACTTTTCTGAAGGCATAGAGAAGATGTTTGGCCAAAAAATTTCGCTCGATCCAGATTTAAAATATGTCATAGACGAAGGGATTAAGGAGTCAAGATGGATGGACCCCGAGAAAAGGGCACAAGTAATTGAAACTGCAGGATATTTGGCTTACGACATAATAATTGTCGAGCGCCTAGGAGATCATGCAGATGCCGAGGTAGCCAAGGGAGCGAAACAGGCAGCTGAAAACTGCATAAAAAAAGGTTTGGAGGAGATGAAATGTCGAAGTGTTGAAGAAACCTCACATATACCACTATCGCAAAAAAAAGCCTTTGATCAAGAAGGTATCGGATATGCAAAATTGCTCGAGGAAGCGATGGAGGCCGCTGAAAAGTACAAAGGGTATAATAATGATGAGGAAAAACCATCAGCAAACGAAGAACCCTTACAAATGCTGCCGAAAGAAAATTCTAAGAAGGCGGCTTTTGCATCTAACACGTCAGTCAAAGAGGGCAGTATCGCAAAAATGAGAAAAGAAAGCGCGAAAAAAAAGTGCGAAAAGAAAAAGAAGACTAAAAGAAAATGAGGAGAGAGAGGGCCAAAGATATGTTAATCTTTTCACTCTCGCGATATTATTAGTCATTCTCCCTACAATTCTTACGTTTACGATGTTATCTTTTACTCTCCAAAGTTATTCTCACCCCACCTGTCCGTTTTATTTTGCATTGAGAAATTCTCTCTTTGTCAATCATGGGAGGGTTAAACGAGAGTGTTCTATCTTTTGTTGGTTTAATTGTTCCGGTGAGTATACAGACGCACACGCTCTGATTGGTCGAAGATTGCGTCATATATCACCTCGCGCAAAGTGATTATGGCGAGGTGATCATGACAGGAGCGCTACATTTTTATAATTTAAATGGCTGCTTCTTGTTTAGTCAGTGTTACCGAGGAACTGATGATCGCGATAAAAAGATTCATCTCCGAGGAGCACAAAAGATGCTAATAAGTTTGGAGTACCCACTCTTTAAAAGAAAGATATCAAGTAGTTGCTGACTGAATTAAAATAAACCTCTTAATTCTTGTGGAAACGACCTTTTTATAAGAGTAATGAAAATACTGAATTCAAACAGAATGCTTTCAGCATCAAACAGATATTTACAACATAATCAGAAAGCACCTAAACAATTGTATCCGAAATATTGTTCAGCTGCCGGCGACTTTAATTGTTAAAAAGCGACATCCTAGAAAGGTGTGTCGGAAACCTTACGGAATAAATACGCTGAAAGGATTTTGAGGTTTCTGAAAAAGGATGTCAATGGTTGGATTTATTAGCCTTCTCCCAACGATATTTAGTCCTCCAGCATTTCTTCAAACTCATCATTTTCACGATTTAAAAGATCACATTGAAGATTCGACGGAACTGCCCCCAAAGGCGAGAAATACTTTTTAAACTGTTACAAGGATTTTGAAAAAGCCCAAGGGGATCGATCCAAATCCAGCTTCACGCTACTGTCTTAGAAATGCCTGAACTTTTAGAGAAAATGAGAAGAAACATTAATACTATTATTAATATTAATACGATATTAATACGATGGTGTACACGTTCATTTTCGTAACGAGCTCTGCCCGATTTTTATTCGGGGATTATCGACCTTTTATTTTCATTCATTAATAAAGTTGAGTTATCTTGTCAGAAAAGGCCTATTGTGTTTATGGGATAAGAAAAATATAGTAATACGTGATTGCTTGTAGATAAGAAATTTATCTTCTCGTGTTGAACTCGACAACTCAATCGTCCGCTTCGCTCACTCGTGAGCTATCGAGTTAAACACTCGAAGAGGAATTCTATATCTACGGGCGCCCATATATTATTCCCTGTAGTTTATTACTATTATTATTATCATTATTATTATTATTGTTATCATTATTATTATTTTCAAAGGAACATGGTTTGTTTGTAGACTATCAGGCTGGTGGACAACGAAAGCTGACTCTGAAATATTGTTATACTTCTATCGCTGCGTGCATATGGTGAGGGAGATGTTTGAAGCCATACCTCATCTCACTGAGAATAGAAATATTGGCCTTAAAAGATTAAAACGAGTTGAACTTGGAACTACCCCGTCAAACTCGAAATAACTCCTTACTCAGTTTATTTTGGAGAAGTTTGTGGCCACTGAAACTTCTTTTCTCTACTCTCTTAATTAAGTAGATCACAATCTGTCAAATTGAGCAACTGTGCTCGTTAGGAATGAGACCATTAATGAGGGTTTCTATAAGCCTATCCGATTACTAATTTGTAATCGCGTCGAGACATCTTCTAAGACATACGTATCCTTCGCAGTATCCGACTTCCGGCGTTCATGAAGTTTAAGTAACCTTTCTGATAGATTAGGATTGTTACTAACAGTAGAGGTAGCACCTTCGGTTCTTAAACTATGAAAGCCATACATGTTATGATCTAAACCGAGTTCTTTTAAGACAATCCTTAAAGATTTCCCTACACCTAGTGTATGACAACTTCCCTCCATACAACTTGTACTCACTAGTAGATTTAAACTGCCTTACTGGCCTGAACGATGTAACTGAGCCGGAGAGATTAATATCTCTTATCCAAATATACCTTTCTAAAAGTGCCACGGGACAATAACTGTTACCTAGCCTCCCTTCCCGGAAAACATAATTCTTCGTCATGGGAACAAACACCCTCAAGGATTCAGGACAAAACTTTAAATGTGCGGGAGCAATGTTGCTCAGCTCATTATAACGAAAAAACCGTGCAAAACCTAACGAGCAAATACAAGCTAAACGTAAATCCTTTAAATTAGCCGATGGACTAGCATACTTATCAATTATACTTCTATTAATATCGGCAGGAATAGATGCCTTCTTAACAGTAACTAGCTTGCAATGTTTAGCCGCTTCCAGCAAATTATGACAAACTGAACCATGAAGTGGATTGTTGTAAGAAAAGAAAGAATGAAACCACTTAGGGGTTGCGTGAGACAAAACTAATGTGGCATAGGAGTTTGAAATTTTGTACGCTTTATAGATATACGAAACTGCGAGGGAGAGAGAGTAAGGAGGCATCGGCCTAACATCGGACAAATTACACCATTCAAGAAACCTAAGAATCTCTTTCTTGTATCTCTTCGATGTAGACTCGCTTTAGATCTCAGTAGCGTTAAGAGAATATTTTTCAAGTCTGGCGTTATCCGAGCCGGAAGATGATTCCAGTGGCCATCCACATCAAACATCTGCAACGAGAAAAACCCTATGGTAATAGACAACATGCTCATTAAACCTCCCGTTCTCGTTTCAAATTGACTGTCATAAAGGCTGTATGCGTGATGTCACGCACTCATTAGCTAGATCCCGAGAGGCGCTGCGAGTTAAAAAATACATGTGCTCGATCGAAGTGGAGAATCGTTTCAACGCCCGTTTAACGTCATCGTTTATATTATAAGGACACAAACGTAAGTTTTTTTTGGTTTCGTTTCTTGTTTGTCTAGCCTTTTTCCGTATTTATAGTTGTAAATTTCCTTTGTTTCCTCTTAGTTTTCGAAACCGTACAACGTTCGTTCAAGATTGTAAAGTCCATTTCATAATTACAAGTACGCGTGTTCAAGTTTGTGTTGTCGTACCGTTTTATGCGTGCATATTTCGTTTCGAAAAGTTTCACCCTCATCGCATACTGGTTTATTGGAACTTATCCTACGTTTATTTGCAATGTTGGGCGAACTGTTCGCCACTCATCGCTAATTTGAAGCGACTACCGAAGGATTAATTAGTGCCTAGTCCACCATGAACGATGAACCTGTCGCTGAGGGCGCTGGGCCTGGGTTTCCTCCGAACGAAAGCTGTCCCGATACTCGTGTAAGGAAATTAACTGAAAAGGGTCAAGAAGAGAAATTAAGGCGACTGAAAAACGATCAAACTGCCAAAACGACTGCTGTGACAAAGCAAAGGAATGCTCTCACAAACTTAATGGAAGATGAGAACAATCTTCATTTAGTGAAATCAGAGGTTATTGTATTGAACACATTATTCAAGGAGTATCAAGAAGCACGTGACCTTTATTATTGCCAGTTGACCTCCGAACAGGATCAAGACAGGGAACTTGATCGCTATGAAAGTAAGGAGAAGTCATTTTGGAATTTAGGAAACAGGTTATGGAATGGATGAATGTAGCAGAACGTCGCTTAACAGAAGAACTTGATCTGCTCTCAGAAGTAAAATCGGCTTCATCCAAATCGTCCCGTGTTAGCACCCGTTCGAAGAAGTCTTCAGCCAGCTCAACGCCATCTGCACGAGCAAAGGAGAAACTTAAGCTAGCGGAATTACAAGCTGAAAAACAAATGCTAGAACGCAAACAAGCTCTACGAGCAGCAGATGAAGCCTTGAAACTGGAAACTGAAATAGCGAAAGCCCAGGCCAGAGAAAGGGTTTATGCCGATTTGGAAAATGATGGTAACCTAGAAAATAAGGATGGTATTGTTCCCTGTCTCCAGCAAAGTGAACCTAAATTCATGGCTTCAACACCTGCCGCTCATCTCAACCCTGCTGCCCCAGAGTTTCACTCAAACAGTCTAGCCGGCGAGATATCGCCTCCGGCTAACAACGGGACCACTGATGTACCACAAGGAATTATCGCTGCAGCTGATGATCCCTATCGATTGGAACCCCATGAAAGGTCTTTCAAAGAAGTGATGGCCATGCAGCGACAGCAAAATGAGCAAATGATTGCAACCCATCGGCAACTGGCTGCAGCAATGACTCTGCCTCAACCTGAAGTGCACAAGTTTAAAGGAGACCCCATCGAATATGGAACCTTTATATCATGGCATTCAAGGCAAGGATAGAGTCCAGAACATTCAGGGCGGCAGATTGCTTATACTACCTGGAACAACATCTTGAAAGGGAACCACGAGAACTTATTGGAGGCTGTCTGCATATGGACCCTTCTGAAGGATATAAGGAGGCGAGGAGGTTACTGGAGAAGGAATATGGGGATCCCTTTAAAGTTTCAATGGCCTATGTGAACAAAGCTCTCGGATGGTCCCCAGTTCGGCCAGATGACGCATCAGGACTAAAGCGTTTATCGCTTTTCTTGATTAAGTGTAAAAATGCTATGATGAGCGTGTCTCATATGAATGAGTTAAATCATCCTACGAACCTGCAGACCATTGCAAAAAGCTTCCCTCGCATCTCCAGTCAAGATGGCGTGATCGTGCTGCGAAATTGAAAGAGAACGGAAGGATAGCGAGCTTTAAGGATCTCGCTGATTTTGTGGTGTCAGCAGCCGAATCAGCGAACGACCCTGTATTTGGCGTGCAGGCTTTAAGTAGTACCCAGGAAAGGCGCAGAGATAACAGTGGGAGAGATGGCAAGAAGAAGCCCTCGTCAGCAACTAAAACAAGCAACAGTTTTGCCACTGGTATCACCATTCCCGGCATAGAGGCTGTAAACCATGCGAACCGAAACAATGCTGGTGGCAAGGAAAAGTTGTGCCCCTTCTGCAGCAAGAACCATGACCTGGATGATTGTGCGGAATTCCTCAAAAGGACCATGGATGAAAGGAAGACA